GACGGGGGGGGGGGTGATGTGGGTCATTATAAGCCATCAGCCTGACGTCCATCCCAGGCAAGATGATGGAATATCTGATATGGGACACAATTAATAAAGAATTAAAGTATTAAGCTCCGGCAGCTGAGCTGCCATAAAGCATTATGTAAAATGAGTGGAAAACAGACATATCATAAGTGCACTATGCTGTCATAAGTGCGCTGAATTGAGTGTCGTCAGAGCACCTGTTTGTTTTCCTTCCCCCTCCCTAGCCCTCAGCCACAAGAGTACAGAGCAGAATGCACTGGGTACTGCTGATGCAGTGCAACTTCATTCGTAATGAGACTCCCCCTCACCCAGAGTTCAAATCAGGGTAGCTTGTTCGTGATGCAGTGGAGGGTGTGGTCTAGGGTGACCAGACGTCCCGATAAAATCTGTCCTGATATTTGCTTCTTTGTCCCGCATCCTGACTAATGTTTGGACAAACAAGAAATGTTGCCCTCCCGGAGGGACTCTCCCCCCGCCCCCCCGCCCCAGCTCCGCCCCCTCGCCCCAGCTCCGCCCCCTCCTTCCCCCATTGGCTCCCTCCCCAAATCCCTGCCTTGGCCCCGCCTCTCCCCCAACCACGCGGCATTCCTCCTCCCTCCCAGGCTTGCAGCTCCATGGCGGTGCAAGCCTGGTGGGGGGAGAGGGGGTGGCGGCGCCTGGATCCTGGAGCTGGTGAGTCAGCTCTGGCACCCAGGCACCGGGCGGGCAGGCAAAGGGAGGCTGGCAAGGGAAGGAGGGAGACGGGGGGGGCTCAGCTTGGAGCCCCCCGCTGCGCAAGAGAGCTCCTGCCCGGCCTCCGGGCCGCTGCACACGGGGGCCTGGGGCCGGGAGCGCAGCGCGGAGGCTGCTCCAGCCCTGCAGCCCGCGGGGCAGCGCGGAGCGGGCAGGGGCTGGGTGGGCGGCGCGGGGGCGTGGTCCGAATCCCCACTGCTGCCAGGGAGCCCCGCGCCTCTCTCTCCCGCTTGCGGCTGCAGCTACTTCCCGGTGGAACGCGCCTCCAGCCCCCCGGCTCGCCCTGGGCACATGTGGCGCGCATCCTGCCGCTGGCAGGGAGCCCCGGTGGGAGGGAGACTAGGTGCGGGGGGCGCGTGCCGCATGTGCCCGGGACGGGACGGGGCTGCGGGAGGCGCATCCTGCTGGGAAGGAGCCGCAGCCGCGAGTGGGAGGGAGAGGCGCTGGGCTTCCCGGCAACAGCGGGGATTTGGCCTGCGCCGCCCACCCGGCTCCTGCCCACTCTGCACTGCCCCCGCCCGGACCCACCGCGGACCGCATGTGCCCGGGGCGGGCCGGGGGGCACGAGGCTCCGCGAGGAGGGCAGTGCGCGTGGCCGGGGCCTGCTAAGGCCCCCGACCCCTTTGAAACTCCTTTTTTTTTTTTGCCCACCCCCTCCCCTCCCCCAACCCCCCGCGTCCTGATATTTTATATCTCTGATCTGGTCACCCTAGTGTAGTCAGATGTTAGGCTGCATGTGTGTATTCTTTCTGCAGGCTCTACTGACTCTGGCCGGACAGCCCAGCAGGCTCCAATCAGACTGCCCAATTAATCCACAGACTTGGTCTGTAGCAAAGGGCGAAGGCACTTGGTCAGGTTTCTTGTCAACAGAGAGGAGAGAGCAGCCATTGGACTATATGCTGAGTAAACTAACGTACGCAGCTTCAGCTCCGTAGCTGAAGTCGACGTACCTTAGTTCGAACTTACCGCGTCCAGACGCGGCAGGCAGGCTCCCCCGTCGACTCCGCGTACTCCTCGCGCCAAGCAGGATTACCGGAGTCGATGGGGCGCACTTCTGGGTTCGATTTATCGCGTCCAGACAAGACGCGATAAATCGAACCCAGAAGTTCGATTGCCTGCCGCCGAACCAGCGCGTAAGTATAGACAAGCCCTTAGAGAGAGCTTCCATATTATTTAACTCATAATTGATATAATTCAAAGTAAAATTTCACAGCGTGGTCTGTTCTAAGACTAAAAATGCAGGAGGGGAGTCAGAAAAAGGAACAGTGACCTGTTTCTGCCTGGTTTCAAACCAGGGCCATTTCATGTGTTAGGTGAACGTGATCATCACTACACTACAGGTCTTTCACATGTTAGGTGAACATGATAACCACTACACTACGGGCTTCTCTTTTTTTGCCACAGACTTTGCTGAATGCACAGAGATTTTTTTCTCTAGCTACAGAAGCTACCTAATGCAATGTCTGCATCTATGGCCTTCCTGCTCACAAAGCGGTCATGCCCTCGCCCAAGACTGACACAGCACGGAGTGCATGTGACACAGCGACCTAGCTCGGGCGCTGGCGAGGCATGATACTTTTGCCGTTATGCAAACACAGCA